GTACGCGAGGCGACGTGAACGTGGAGGTCTGCGAGCGAGAGGGGACGCGAGGGGGAAAGAAGGATAGCGAAACGGGGGAAGCGGCGGAATACGCGCGACGGGGTGTGTGGGGGTAACACACAACCCGGTGGCGGTGGCCGTGCCACGCCGTGTTACTTATCCATTATAACACTCCAAGATCTTGATTTAAGCCTGCAGCCAGTGGTGAGCTTTTAACCAATTAGCCTTTATAGCCTACTCCCTCCGTCCTCCCGTTTCCCGTCGATCCCTCTCTTCGCCACCCTACTAGCTCGCCTCTCGTCGAGTCTCTTCCTACCGACGTGGCGCGCGATGGTAGCCGCCACGTTGGTGTACCTACGTATCCTATACCATGTCCTCGTCCACAACCGCACGATATACCCACCTAATTTACCGGCTCTCCTCCCCTCCTTCCTCTTCTCTCTCTCTCTCTCTCTCTCTCTCTTTATTTGTCTCTTTCTCTCAATGTTATCCTTCACTTGGCTTTTCTCTTTCTCTCTCTCTCTCTCTCTCCGTCTTTGCGCCTCCTCGTTATGTATGTATGAGCATTATGCGCGTTGGTGTATTAGCGCGGTGCATTCGCGCGTGCAAGTACGTTAAACACGTACGCGCCAGAAGATGCACATGCACGGTAGTATTGGATACTCATCGTTTAGTGGAAGAAGAGTGCTCTTGCGGCGGCACTAGATATACGCTGCAAGGTAACGCTAATTAAGAGTGGACGCGATCGAGCCATGTTACGCGACATCCTCTTCTTGCTTCCTTTTCTTGTGAGTTACGTGTCACATTTATCGATTTAAACACGTGAAAATCCCTGATTTTCCAAATCGCACGAATCGACTGCGTGAAACGATAACAATGCCATTCGGAGTTATTCCGCGCACCGCTTGATGTAATCGCATTGGTTTTAACTTTGAACAATTGCTTCGGAACAATGTTAGATATTCAAACACATAAATATTACAATGACTGCTTCCGGATGTTATTTAATAAGCTGGAAAAACACATTATTTTTGCGAAAGTCAAACTAAAAATAGTGATTGTTTTTATATTGAAAGGAATAGCAAAACAAATATTTCTGATATATCTGAATATTCTTTTTATCCCCTTTATACTAAATAATATTTTATTGACTAAAATATATTCACCATAAAATTTCTTTAAAAATTTCCACGGAAAAGAGATCGACAAAATACAAAAATTAGTCTTTCTAAATTATTTTCTAGCATCTAGTAAAAAATTTACAATTTTGGAATGAAGGTAATAAATATTACGAAGCGTGATGTTATATTCTTTAGATAGGAGAAATACAATTTTCAATTCGAATATGATGGTCGCTCATAATTAAAAAGAAAAAATTCAAATGAGATATATTTCTGCCAACTATCATGTTATTAGCATCTAAAAAAGAGGTTATATCTCTTAATCTAGTCCGAGTTTTCTTCCTGTAATCCACGAAGCTAATTAGAGGAAGCATTATTTAATCCCATTTGGCTCAACCGGTTCGATGTCGCCGATAAACCGTATCAAAAAAACCACCTCTCTCTTCCGGGACCGGAAGATAATTAATACACAGGCATAAGCAAGATGTAAAAACGCGGTAAAAACACAAAGAGGCAGAGCACTGCTAACGGCTCTAAGTCGGATGGACGCAAATGAGCGGCGCGCACGCATAGCCATAGCCACACCTCGCGGCTCGCGAGAAAGCGAAAAGCCGCAAACGGCAACCCGAGCTCGCTCAAAGCTCCGAGCTCCGAGTCCCGAGTGGTCGTCGTTTCCGCCTGAAGGCGAAAAGGAAAAAATTGTTACACGCCCGTGAATTAAAAAGAAATGGTCAAACGTAGGCGACGCGACGTCGTTTTACAATATGTGATAAGCAAAGACAAAGGCATCGCACTTCGCGATGCTCTTCTTTCTTCTTTTTTTTTATAGGTACTTTGTTCGTTATGCATCCTGTTCTTGTAATACTGCCGAAAGTGATTTATTGATAGTTTTAGGAATAAAAAGCTTGAATATAAAAAAATATTAGTATTTCATAAATTTTGAAAGTCCTTTGTAATAAATAAAGACAGAATATAAAAAGTTTTCTATAAGAAAGAATATTGTATAAACAATATGAAAAGTATTTTTTTATCTAACATCATTTTGCGTTTATTGTACTAATTCGTGTTGGGTTTTCAAAATAGTTTATGTTAAGGATGTATATTAGACGTAATTCTTGCAAAGGAAATTAAATTTGGAAGTATAATAATATTTATACTTCAAATAAACTATATACATATGAAAGTTGTGTGAATAAGATTATATTTTTGTTTAATAAATATTCAAAATAATTTATACAACATTTTGCGATTCATTGATTAATTACAAAGATATAGAACAAATAAATATTTTGTTTATTTGCTGGACAACTAGTTCATGCGTCGCAATGTAACTCCATGTAAATAATCTTGAATACATAATGTACTTATATTTAAAAAAATTGAGATTTTTATCATTTATTTTATAATACATTTCCATATATTTTTATTAGAGCACAGATTAAAAAAGACTACTATTTATTAAAATAACTCATGATTCAAATAGTAAACCGTCACCAAATTTGTCGTATTATTTTTAAACGTCATTTAGAATAATTTGTAATTTTTTCATAATTTTGTAATCGTTTTGGAAATATGTATAAAACATTTTTAATTCTCTAAACAAACATTTAAGGCATTCAAGAAAATTGTTGACAATTGTTGACGTCTTTCACGAATTCATTTAAAAATTAAATGTTAATATGTTAATCAAATATAATTTCTATGTAAATTGCATAATTATTTATATGTTACTATTCGATGCAGATATATATATATATATATATATATATGTTATATGATTTTGCACAGATCAGTTATATGTTTCTGTGCAATAAACGCACACTTGATTCACGTTATGACGGATGGTCATATTCCATTCACGCTCCAATCACGATTCGGTCAAATATCCTCTAATGCGTTTGAATTGCATTGTACGCGTTCAAGTCACGAGATATGATTTCGTATAATGGCAATTTTTTAAAAACACCGCGTACGTTAACGTACATATGTTTCGTCCACCATTATTACCCAGAGATTTTAATTTTACACGCAATATTTTATGTAATTTACCAGCGTGTGAACGAAATAAAAATTAAAATAATTCAACGATAATCTAATATAACTGGTAGATCAATATACATGTATGAATTAAAAAACGGTTTATATTTCTAAAAATTGATCAAACCATAAACTTTTATCTAACGCAACCATATTCTGTATACATTTAAATATAATATAATATAATAATGTTTCCTCTATAAATGTAAGTGGTGAGATTGTATCAAAATGTAACAGATAAATGTTTAACGATAATATCTATACTTGTAAATTTTCTAATTGCGCAAAAATAGCTCTTATAATATCTCCGAATAAAAATCTCTGCACTACAAATTGTTTTAGCATTAGCAAAAAAAAAAAAAAAAAATACACAATTATTAGAAAGCGAACGATTTGCCGTTTGTGGTTTCCCAATTTTGGAATTAGCGACGGGCAAAGTAACTTTTAATATCGCCCCGAAATGGTCGAA